GCTGCACTGCTGGTCGGCTATCTTGTTTCTTGACAGTTCTTTTTTTTTGGTCTTGTCAGATACAAGGGAAGCACTGGATCAACCTGGAGCCCAAAGCAGTATTTTTATGTATTTTTGTTGCTCCGCATTGCTTGGCTCCAGCTCAGCTCTAAGGTTGGAGTCCTGTCCGCAACCTGCTTCGCTTTTGATTGGTTGCCAGGCTTCACCCGTCAGCCTCGCTTTGGTGAGCCGGTGCTTCAGGGGCTCTGGAGCTTGGGCCTTGGGCTTCTGGGCTCGCTGATCGTCTTCGTGTTGCGCAGACCTTCTGAGATGGTGTTCCTTGATATCCTTTGCATCGACCAGAAGAATAGCCATGCAAAAATGCAAGGTGTGTTGAACATCGGCGGCTGCCTTAGGCACTCCAAGACGCCAAGCAGAGCGAGCGGGCGAGAGGGCAGGGATAGCCCTGCAGGGCTCTTCCAGAAGTTGTGTTGTTGTTGCGATTGCCACCGTTTTTGGACAAGGCTTCTTTTGAACACCGTTATTGAACACAATATTAGCCACCGTTTTCAGGAGTTTATACAGTAATACACAGAAATCAATGATAATCGATGTGTGGCAGTTGAGTATCCACCAGGGAACCACATGTCACGAAAGGACCCTAAAGGCCCATCACGGTTGGCGTGAAAGTGTGTGAGCATTGCACCAGCTTTGCACAGTTTTGATCACCAGGCCCGTGAGAGGTGGGAAGGCGGGCTTGTAGACCAACCCAGAACTCCCAAAGCCAAACCGACATCCGAGGAACTTGCTGGTCATTTGGGATGAGACTTATTGCCAACGACTTTGGTGCATGTTTGACGCGCGACAAGAAAACGAACAGAAGTTTCATTTGGTTGATTCGCTTTTGATCCATTTTGTTGCTCCAGATTTGCTTCACGAGAGTTCTCCAAACCTCGATGTCCCAGTCGCAGGAATTGGCTGCCTTCCTGAAGACACATGAAGAACATCATGTGCTGGTTCGACCGGTAGCGCTCTCTTACTTGGTGGTGGGGTCTTTGGTATTGAACACATTGGTTTGGTCTGCTTCCCCTTTGCTACCCTATGATGCACCTTACACGTTGTATGTCATCCTTTTGGGCCTCATGGTTTATACCTGGTTTGTGAGCCACATGTGGCTCAGCTACTCCGACAGTTCAGAGAATGCGTTGCGTGAGTTGAAGAAATTTCGCTTGGCTGATGCTAAGTGCCTTTGCTGCTCACTCAATCATATGACTCCGAAGGGACAAAAGATCCTGACCTGTGACCGAGAGTTGATATCCACATGCGTGGAACAGTGGTTTGGCTCCGTTGAGGAGTTTGAAAAGTCCGTGCAGAACCACGTGTTAAGGGCTTTGAGCCGTGGATTGGGGGGAATCTTTATTCCTTACCCTTTGATGTTGCTGCAGGTCCTCCCCTTCACCTTGACAAACATGGACTTTACCGCTGCCCGGTTGCGTGGCCAAGCATACAGTGATGGCGCCTCTAGTGCCATGATTTGTGTGTTTGGCACCCTTGTATGTACCCCGATGGGATACGCGGTGTTGTACCTTGCCATCCAATACACACGTGGCTGTCGCCGCATGTTGCGGACATTGCTCGTTTGCGTCATGTTTGGCCTGCAGCAGCTGTTTGTTCAATTGAGCCTGCAGATGTGCGTGGACTTTGCTGGGCAGCTCACGGGCAAATCCTTGTGGGCTGGCATGCAGTTTGTACCCACGCTGCTGCTTTGGTGGTGGGCGCTTCGAGTGGGCAGAAGAGAAGTCATGCGTGCATGAAGCAGTGTTCGACAGAGATCAACGGTTCCACATATGTGGTGACCGTGCATTTTTAAGAGGTCTTTTGAACCATTCCAAAGTTTCACTCCACCTTCATGTGTTTCAACCTGTACAAAAGCAAGGTGTGGGGTCAAGCGGTGGGGCACTGTGGGACCGACCGATTGCCGAGCTATAGCTGTGCTGTCACCTTATGTCACCTTGGCCACCATAGGGCATCATACCTAGGTTCGTTGTGGATGTGTAAGGAGACGGCTGCCTCCTTTGATGACTTCTTGGCCAGCCTGCCTTCTAAAGTTGCAGCACGAATCAACGGGAAAAGACAGGAGAAATGCCTTGAATGGATCGTTGGAGCTTCTCCGAAGGTTCCCCGGTTTTTCTGCCAAAGACCTCCGTGCCTCCGCTACCGGAACCTCGGCTTGGACACGGGGCGGGAACGCTGGGGCCGGGCGCGACCGGGGCGCAGGAGGAAGGACCACGCGCGTGGTGACCGTGGCGAACTTGAAGAACTTCATCGCGACGTCGAGGGAGAAGATGAAGGACTGGAGGGACAGGAACCGAGGTCCTCAGATGGGGGGGGCGGAGGTAGTTAGTTAGGAGAGCCGAGTTGGGGATGTGAAGTTGTGGGTGTTAGAGATAGGAGAGGTCGTCTTATAGTCCAGTGACTTTGAGTTGGAGATAGGAGGTTGTGCTTTGTTGAGGGTGTTTGGGCGGTTCTTGGTGGAATGGGAGTGTTTCTTGGAGTTTTTGAGCTTGTTTGACTCAGTTGAGACCGTTTTGATTTCAGAAGCTGCAGAAGTTGACCATACGCTTCAGAATTTGAGCATCTGTCGTTTTTTTCCTGTTCAGGCGGGTGTTCCTTTTCGGAGAGGTCTCTCTTTTGATGTCACCGTCTACAACAGCGGGATGTTGCATCCCCTGCCGGCACCTTCTGAGTTCCAGCCAAAGCTGGCACCAATTGGCCAGCCAAACCTGGCAGTATGGTCAAAAAAAGGTCCTATTGTAGCTGACCCCACTACTAAGTAGCTGTGTGGAGCATATCGTAGCATTTCGTGGGAGACTTAAGGAATACGAATATTCTAAAACGTGTCACCACTAGACTCACTAGACCACACACCAAGCACCAACCAAATGACAGGCACCCATTTCCATTGCTAGGCCATCACTGGACCCTTGGTGGAACAGTTTGGCCCATCCTTGACGCAGATGCAGCTGGTTGCCTGGAAAGCCCAGAAACCAAAAAACGAACTGGAGTTTACTTCTTCCGTGGGCACCGTCGGTCAGCTGGGGGGTTTCTTCCGTGCCATGCCGGTCCATGGCGGTTCCACCACGGCGGTTCCCGTGGTGCGTGCCATCAGCGTGGTCCGAATGCCATGCCGATCTTCGATAAATTCACAGATGCGATGGGATCAGACCCCAACAAGAGCCTAGCCACCCTAGCCTTCCAAGACCATTCAAGACAGGTTGAACTGGTTTTAGGGTAAAGCCTTAGTAAAACAAGAATTGCTCGGGATTCAGGCTGTTAAATCAATCGTGCTTGGGGAAGAGACTTTGGAACTCAACTCCACCGGAGTGTCAAGTCCTGCCGTGCTTTGTTCGCTTTGTTGCATTCAGACGTCTTAATTGAAGCATCCATTTGCAAGCGATTGGTGTGCTCCGCGGTACCTCACCATCTCATACGCAATGAACGATGGACTGTCCAAAGGGACATGAATCCAGAACAACGACATACGTCTGTGAGCTAGCGGCACGGTCGACCCTCTATTGGCACACCAAAGAACATGATACTGAACCAATAAGGTTCTTGGTTTATTTGAATAATCACAATATATGATTCTGAAAGATTCCGATTGTGAATCATCCCAATCATGCCCTTTGATTGAACTTGATATTTGCATTCGTATTTTACTTGCATGTTGGATCGTCCAAGAGCCCAGTGCTTGCCCTTTCACGAGGGCTCGCGTCAATCCTAAGATTCTTAGACTCTTGATTTGTTTAATATTTTGCATTAAAAGTTAAAATAGCCAAAGTCACCCCCAGACATGGACTCTAAAACCTTTTCATAGGGGGTTGGTTATTAATGAAGACGTACACCCTGTGCAGAGGGAATCACAATCCCATGGATTGCACACCTCCAGACAGTTCTTTAACATGCATTGTCATTTGATGTCATGTGTCTAGAATCCTTCCTCTAATCCTTACACTCCGACCGACTCACTCACGAAGTGGCAAAAACCTCCTGATTGAAAAGGAAAGTAGTCTTCCAATTGGACACATGCCATCTACTTCCTTGTGAATCCTTTTCCACTTCCTAGGGGTCATGTCATGCCAAGGAGTAAGAGTGTAATCCTTTTCCATTTCACCAGTGGCTTCTTGCTACTAATGGCGATGGCCTCCACCCTAATGGCGATGGCCTCCGCCGAGCATGGCGTCCTTGCAGTCGTCCAAGGCCCTGGAGGCCACCGCCTCAGAGCTGGGCCTCCGCTCCGCCAGGCGAGCGAGCGTGGGCGGAGGGTGTTTGGATTTGTTTGGATGGAGTGGTCTGAAACACAGAAGCAAAATAGCACCTAGTTATTGCGCATTCATTGTACCATGATTTCTGTAACTTGTGGTTTGAGTCGGTTGAGTGCTAGTAAAGATTTGTCGGTGTTGCTTTCTTCGGATGGGATTCCACAGCCGGATCTTGAAAGGAACTCTTTCAGCAGCTGCTGTCAGCATTCGGAAGAGATACCTGCGGATCGTTCATCGTTTATCGTTCATGATCCGCAAGCTGAGCTACAACCATGGCACAAATGGATCACCATCCAGTGGGGAGCTCCAACCATCCAGACCCATCCAGTATGTTCAGGAGTTGAACACCAGGTTCTGTGGAGATGGACTAACCTAGTAGCGTCCGCTTGCGCTCCTAGTAGTAATGGCCTCCCCAAGAGTACTCCCAAGGTCCTCCCCCCTTTTTGCCGCTCAGTTGGCTCCGAACTCGCCGGTCGTTTTCGCCCCTTGAAACCACGTCGGGTGTTCCACGACCGGACGTCGCACCGGTGCGAGGCGCCGACCTTCTTCCGTCGCACCGGAGATCGATCGACCGAGCAGTCCGAGGCGGCATACGATCGAGGGACCATCCATGCTGGTCTCCTTCCAAGAAATCCCGGAGGAGGAAGAGCGAAGGCCGCTTCTGGAGATGTGAAGGAGTTTCTTGAGAGTTCATGGATGATGTAGTTCTATGAGATTTGAGGTGAGCGCGATCAAAGCATGCGAAGACCGCTTTAGTTTAGTAGAGAGGGGCAGGTTCAAAACCCCGTAAAAGGAGTGCTGGTCCGCCTCAAAACCGAGGTTCGCCCCAGCTCTTCATAAAGAGACTCATAAGCGTGTGGCGGCTCACTCACACCATCTGTCACCACACGGGTTTCAGCGATAAGATCCTCTTATAAGATCTCGATGACGTCCGTTTTTGTTTCGTTGAAGAAGAACCAAACAAACATTGACCGCCCCTCAAATCATACGTGGACGGACACGAGAGAAGTATCCTCGGCTTTGGTTTTCGACTCGGCAGGCCAAAAAGAAAGGCAAAGACTTTACACTCCCTGGAACTAACATGGAAGTGGATGGCATGGCCCCGAAAGGAAAGACCATGTGTTCTTCTACAAGCCAAAAGTTGTCCACTTCCATCTTAGTTCCACAAAGGTTACAATCTTTTCTCCTAGCGAGCTGGTTTCTGTCAATAGATCATCGTGGTCAATTCGTAGCACGTCGCTGTCCACGTCGCGGGCAGAAGTTCAAGGGGAAGTTCGCCGTAGGAAGTTCCTGTTTGTCATGACTTTCTTATCCGGGCGGGAGTTCAACAGGGTCACAGGGCGTTATTATGCATGGTGACTCTCCCACAGATGGTGATGTTGGTACTGTGTATAATACATATGGAAGGTATAGGAAACCCACGGATCTATGATGTGTCCATTCCCCAACGCTTGGGTGTCGGTTGGAATGCTCCGGGTATTTTAGCAAATCCAAAGTGAAAAGCGCAACAGGCATCCAATACAAACAGAGGACCATATTCTAGTCAACCGATATCTATTGAAACGTGTAATTACAGTATATATCAATTGTACATCGGACCGGATCAATTATTTTCCAGGGTCACTCACAACACTGGTGTTCCAACTAGATGACCGTAAAGCTTTGAATCAGTTCACAATCTCAACCAGCATCATCCATTGAGATCCATGGTGTTCTTGGACAATAGACACCCACCTGACAATCCAAGCTGATATCCTCAACAGACATCGCAAGATGTACATGCAGATCTCCAGCCACCTGGTCCCACCTTCCGACATGCACGACCGATGTGTTTCTTTTTGGGGGGTCAAAAAGCGCAAGGCCCTCCGTGACGAAGCCCGAAGAGAAGGCTGGACAAAAACAAACAATGGGTTGTGTAATGTGGTGTAGATCCCCAACCAATGGCTTGACTGGTCTCTTTTCCGAATCTTGCAGGAATTCGAGCTACAACGGGAGGTCTCCCAATTTGAGCTACACACCCCAAGTAGCTGTGTTCAGCCTGTTCGCTCGTGATGAGTGCCTTCTCTGTGCGCTAAAGAGCTCTGCACGGTTTGGCGGAGGGAAGGGCCGAAGGTTGGTTGGTTGATGCACAAGGAGGTTGTCGACTTGGAGTGGAAACAAGTTGGGGGCAAGCTGCTTTGCCTATTTGGGAGGAGTGTACGAACGAATGCCGACAAACCAACCAATCCTGATGTTCCAATCGATTCTATTTCCCAGGATGGTCATCTGATGTGAGATGCAAGCCTGACGATGGGTGTGCTTCGCGACGTCGCTGCGTGGGAAGCTTTGGAAGTAAGCCAAGCACCAAGCAGCCAAAACATATCCGATTCGGACAAACAAGTTCAGCCTGTCCGATGAGCCCTGAAAAGTACAAGGGCCTCGCAAGCAAGTGCTTCCTGTGACAATTGCGAGCAAGAGAATTGATAGATCGATCGGCATTTTTGAGGAATCAGCACGGCTTACCATCGGCTTACCCGGTTTTTTGAGGATGGAGAGGAAATGGTAAAGACATGTCTACAGACTCATCTGACAGGGGATCCCTTCAAATGGGCATCATTGCCCTGCTCGCGAGTCCACCAGGAGAGCTCCGCCACTGATGAGGCTTGCCGACTTTTTGCGCGGGTGCCATGCTTTGGAGCCAGGGTGATGTCCATGTTGTTCCTCTCAAATGAAAGTGCCCGGTGTTTGACCAGCCAGCGCCGCGCACGATCGTGCGAAAAAAACCAGGCCAAGTTCCATCGTTTGTTCCTCCAAATTTGCTCCCTATTCCCCCCCGCATGGTCTTCCACCGCTTGGTCTGTGATGTTTTGGTCGCTAGGCGGCCGCGCCGGCGGAAGCGCCTGAGAACCGGGAGACGTCGCAGGCGATCCCGGGAGCGGAGCGGAGGACGGACCGTGCCGGAGGTGACGGGCACGTGTATCCCGAAGGATGGGAAGGTCCCTGGGCACGTGGTATTCAAATATCATCAAATATATTATATATAGATATCATTTAGATCCCTTCCACCAGAAAAAAAACACATTGCATGTGTTGGAGAGTTGTGTTGGTTTTGTTTGTTTTCGACGTGAAACGTTGTCCTTTGAGAGGGAAGACCGAGGGACTGAGGGATGCAAATAAACACAGCAACATGAAACACAATCCATTGGCGGAGGTGGGAGAGGTGAGCCCGGAAATTCCCGGCTATACTCCAAACCCATGCAGTTCTTGAAAAAAAGACCCCGCCTGTTCTTACTGTGTGTGATCTGTGTGTTGTTTCTGTACTCCTTTGAACCTGGTTCCTTCACATCATCCCATATCTTCCCTCTCAGAATCGCACTGGGCACGTGGCACGTCGTGGTGGGTCTGACCTGCCAACCGGCCGACGCCTGGCCGACCGACTCCTGGAGCGGAATTCACCCGGTGCCGAGGACGGAGACATGGAACCATGGAACAACTGGGGCCTGTTGAATTCTTGATGTGTCATTTTTCTTCCATTAATTAAGACATCAGACATCATTCAACAGATCACTAAGACTCATCATATTCGGGCGAAAAAAGGACAGATCATTGACTAAACAGACTATAATGACTAAAATATGACAAAGTCAATCTCACACTGCCACATTCTTCTTGAGCAGTTGATTCCGCGCCAGGCCTCCTTGATCGAACGGGTCTTTGAGGCCGACGTCGGACCGGGAGAGACGGGGCGGGGGCGGGGTGGGGGGTTCGCCGGTCTCGGCCATGTGGGGGAGCGTGGGGGTCTCCGGTGGGTCTCTGGTGGGGCGGCATGTGAAGGAATGATCCGGTGGCATCTTTCACCAGGTCTTTGAGGGTGTTTGATGCAGGTTTGGATCATTTGGGTTGCATGTGGCCCGGCCGTGGCCCTCACCGAATGCGGCCCTCAACTTGGCGGCCATCACGCGCGCCATCCTGGGCCCATCTTCGCTTTAGGTACTTTGGGTCTGGCAACAGGGGGGTCCCATTACCTGTAACAGTCGGTCAACAATTATCATGACTTTGGAGAAAGGTCTGCGAAAAACAACCATCATCATCCAGTGCTACAGGGAATATTATACACACAAACAATCTCAATCCCTCTCACCACTGCAGTTTGCACAGAGGCCAAGTCTATTCCTGTTTCCTTTTTTGCCACTGGTCCATTGCCTTTATTCGCTCCCTCACATGGTTGTCCATCTTGAAAAAAGACAATCACCTCAAAAATATCCAATATCCAACGCCTTCAGATGATTGAACCCAAGCGCGCCGCCAGGCCCGAGCCCCCCCCCCCCCCCCCCCCCCCCCCCCCCAAACCACCGGCTGCCGATCTCGTGTTCCTATGTGAGCAACGGCTTTTATTTGCGGTAGTCAAGATTAGTGGAAGGGGAGTTCCTTTTCTATAGCCCAATGTCAGATTTAGTTAGCGAAACGAGGTAGGAACACCCCGAGAACGAGATTGGCATCAATTGCGCCATTTGTTTGAAATGGTTTAGTTAATGACATGTTTAGCTGGTGAAACGAGGCAGGAACACCTCTCGAGAACGAGATGGGTATACATTGCACAAAACAGATACAGGAATGGAGAACGAGATTACACCCCAAAAACGATGCGAGAATAGAGAACGAGGTAAGAAGGCCCATGTGATAACTCAACGGAAATATTTTCCATCGCTCATGTGTTCCTTACGCAGACGGCGCGTCCAAAAACCGCCCCAAGCACATCAGCCGCCTGCGGGCGCTTCTTCCCGGCGCTTCCCGGCGGACCGGACGGAACAGAGACGATGGGAGGCCTACGCTACCGGGCACTACCGCGGGCAACGGACCTTCCTGCGCTTCTCCGACCTCAAGGACTTCGCCGAGGCGGGGAGACCCGAAGCCGAGCGAGGTGAGGTGAGGTGGAAAGGCCCCCAAGCCAGACGTGACCCAGACGCGACTGGAAGAGTTATATACATTGGGAGGGTTGATTGAAAAGGGGTCAAAGTATATATAGATATATACATAGTACATTCCAGTGCCATGGAGCCTTTTGGGTGGATGATGGTGAAATTCCCGTGAGAACAAGCCCTCTTTGACGGGACGGGTTGGGCCCCACGAGGGCAAAGGAGTCCGACATGGGAGGGTTAAGGCCGGGATGGGCGAGGTAAAAAGGGGCCATGCCATCCACAGTTCCATGGATCCACGTGACCTGTTAGTCCGACATGGATCTGAAGATGGGTCAAGATGGGTGAGCAGTCTCCTGTGATCTGAGATCTCCATGGATCTGAGATTCCTCGACGATCAGTTTCGCCAGCCTTCTAGCTGATTCTAGCTTCGCAGTTTCGCCTGGGGAGTTTGGCGAGCCAAACTCATCCAGCAGCGGAGAAAACCCAATCATGTAGACTGTTGTTGATGAATTCACACCGCCCAGCCCCACCACTAAACATGGTTTTACATCTCCAATTGTTGTTTGTTCCTCATCAGTCGACATTGGTGGGTTGGGTGTTGTGGGTCTTGTGGGTCTTGTGTTCGTGGTACGTGGTTCTTTCCGCAGTCGGAGCACAAGGTCGCCTGGGGTCGGCCACGTCCGTGCACCACGTCGCCCGGGTTGGATGTCCGGCTTCACCAGCTGCAGCGAAGCGCCCAATCTGTTTGATCTTGCTGTTTTTAATCGCATTTCTTGGGTATACACTTCATGGAAGTGGAGAACTAGCTGTTTGTAAGTAGAGGAAACTGGTCCTGTAAGGGGCCACGCCATCCACATGGTTCATGAATACTTCGACGCAGGCCCCGCTGGCCCCCGCTGGGGTCTGCCAGAAGGCGGTAGATGCGTCCGTCCGATGGGCGATGGGCCAGGACATCAAAGAACTGATGCCCGACGTGCACAAGAGCTTCCATCACTTTACAGGTCGAGCCGAGAGAGCGGTTTGGGGGGAATTGGAGCCGAAAGTTGGTCAGGGGGTATGGTCGCATGGTCTAGTCTAGTGAGGTATTATGTTAATGTTGTACAATGTTGTATATAGTTGTAAATGACCAGAAGTTACCACAAAATACGACCAGAAGTCCAAAACTAGCAAAGGAATCCAACTTGGTTAACTTTGATTATTCTTCGGACAGCTAAGAAGTCTTTGGACATATAGGTTGTTATGGAACTGGTTATATATTGGATAGAGGGGGCCATGCGGATCGGGGAAAACACGCGGCTGATCCATCCAAGAGCAACCCCCCAAAGCCTGAACATGCACTGTCCGGTACGTCCCCTTTAGTTGCCGGTACACCCTCCAGCTTGGCATGTGCAGACCAAACAACCTCTGCAGGGTTCGGACCAACAGCAGTAAAGGATGTTAAAGGATCCTTTTGCAAGAAACATGTGGTCTCTACTCTTCACAAACTTACCTCGAATTGATCGAAACGAAAGATCAGAGGCAGGAAGGTTTCTTTAGAATGTTACATGAAGATTCAGATTTCTGGTGTCCACTTCCATCCACCACTTCCATCCACCACTTCCATCCACCACTTCCACTACAGGACATCAGGATGGTGGTTGACACCCCTCCCGCTTCATCCCCTCCCGCTTCGCTTCGACCCGAGGACTCCTCGAGTTCTACTACGACGACACCCAGCAGCTGCAGAGCGACATGGGCCTCCATGGGGCGAAAGGCGAGAGTTAGGACCTGACAGGTCGACCTGCACGGAAGCGGGTCACTGGTGACCGCCCATTCGGATGAACCTCAAAAGGTCTGACCAGTCCGGTAGTATAGACTAGACTGAAAAAACACTGTTGGGCGATGGTTTTGGATTTTGGATTTGAGTCAGTTGTTTTTGGATGATTTTGGATCACCTGAAAGTCTACGAACGGGAACGAAAACGGCCGGTCACCGGTCAGTTTGCCACGGGGCGGTCACCGGTCGACCACGTCCGTGAAGAATCTGGGCTACGAAACACGACCGACCCGTTTCGGATGTGGGACGAGGGAGGGCGACCCGGCGACGGTTTTGGGGGGTCCATGGTGTTCCATCCCATATTTCCATGTTCCAATCTTTTTGGTATATATATTATGGTGTTCCCTGTATGGGGAACCATGGTGTTCCCTGTCTTTCCCTTTCTCCCCATATGTTTGCCTTTTTTTGATACGCTGGTTGGGGTTGAAATGGAAAGACAGGGAGCGACAACAAGACAAGTTCCCCAAGCAGCCCCAAGCTGCGAACCACGACGAGATACAGCGATGTCAAGCAGCATGTCTTTCCAGACGTGAAAACGAAGTCCATTGGTTTTGAGAACTCGCACGTTCTTGAAATGAAGTCCATTGATTTTGAGACAGTCATTGAAATGACATGACGTGAAATGAAGTCCATCATTTCAAGCACTCTCACGATGTTTGAGGATCTTTGCGTCATGTCACGTCATGCTTTGTTCCCCGGCTCCCTTCGGCGAGCCTGACAGATTCACATCGAATGCGACATGACGCCAGACTCACCGGGGTCATGTATCATTTGTTTCGCCAGGGGCTATCAAGACATAAGAGCCATTTCCCAACTTCTTTTCGGGCAGCGAAACTTGACTGATATCAGGTTTCATCCGTTTCAGCGTGGAACTGGTCGCAACGGGTCACTGGATGGATCGGAACGGGAGTGAAGGTCCGAGAGGCGCCGTGACGTTTGCTTCCCTTGCCATCCCAAAAATCACCCCCAGACGTGACCCATGAAACTGGAATATTTACAAACATGGGGGTGGTTGATTGAAAAGGGTCAATGTAGGGCCTATAGGCCTATAGGCATATCGTAAGAGGGTCCCGAACGCTCCATGGCACTGGATTCTATGGCGAATCCAGTGCCAGAAAGAGCGTAGGGGAGGGACCCTCGAATCTTTGGGCCGACCTGCTGGACTGGCGTCGGAACTCCATGGGTTTCGGGGAATGTCAGGGAACTGATTCTCCACAAAGGTTGAAAAGTAGATCTCCAAGAGGGTCCAAAGTAGATCCCCACCAAGAATGTATTGTATTGGACACCGTGCCACTATCTATTTGTGGACCACGTGACGCAGAACATCGCAGAACAATGGAAGGTCCGGACCGCCACAATTTCGAAGTAACTGCTGGGCTCGTCGTTCACGGAGCCTTGACCCGTTGCCAGGCTTGACGCTCCGCTATTTTCAGGTCTTCGTGCAGAAGGTTCTTCGCAGGTGTGGGTTCCCAGGGATGATGCGAGCTCAAGAGATTGTAGATCCAACGGCGGAAAAAGGGATGAATGTATTCCATGAATGTTGAGGTGAATACACAATTAAGCAAGAGAGCTTGCACAATCTTCACCAAAGCAGTGGATCGTTGAAAGACATGCCCTGCAAGTTCTATTCACCACTCTTCTTCTTGAGGGACTCTTTTTTTTGCAGTGGACTAATGCTCCACATGCACAGGACCACAGTGTAACTACAGTCCTACACCCCTGAAAATAAAGCTAGCACGAAGCTGTACTTCCCAGCTATTCGGACTACATGGAACCTCCCCCAAAACCACCCCGGGCGCCGCGCGGGCTGCCCACGTCGGGGTCCTTTGGGTCGGTCGGGGTGGCGAATTCAGCGGGGTCGGTCAGCCACAAAGGGATCACGGTCGGGTCAAAGCGGATGACTCGCCGATGAGGATGTGATTCCAGCGCCATACAAAGGATCAATGTATATATATATATATATATACAGGAAACCTACGTTTCGTTTAGTTTCGTTTAGTTTCGTATTTAAATGTTTTAGGCACGTTTCGTTTCGTGTTCGTTTTCTTTTTTGTTCGTTTCGTTTCGTTTCGTTTTATTTTTTGGGGAGGTTCGTTTCGTTTCGTTTTGTTTTATTTTTTAAAATTTTTCGATTCGGTTCGGTTCGTTTACCGTTTCATGTTTTTTCGGTTCGTTTCGATTCGTTTATCGTTTCCGCTGCCATATTTTTATTACAGTATCAGTATCAAAAAAATATATATATATAATATATATATATTAATCCTGTACCTTCCATTGATACATGGTGGTCACCCTAAGAACGGCCGGTATAGGGCGTATAATTCGAAGAACAGGGGAATGAGGGCATGAGGGGCAACCCGCCAAGTAAACCCAACACCTCTTTCAGACCAGGCTCAGACCAAGGTCAGACCTGGCTCAAAGCATGGTTTCTATTAGGCTAGGTGCAAACTGGGAATTTGTTGGTGCACCCGTTGGGGTGTGTGTTTTCAAGTTGGTCAACCAGCCCTGAGAGAAATCCACTCCAGGACCGGACCTCAAAGGGCATAGCGCTCCCAAAACGGAAGCCCCCCAAGGACTTGCTTGGAAGACTGCGGGGTAAGAAGGAGCAGATGCTGGCTCCTCCGATATTTTTGTTGCTGGCTGGGGGAATCGCTTGGCAACGCTACATTAACATTGGAAGCGGCAGGTTGCGGAACTGGCCCTTGGATTGGATGCTCAGGTTCACCATTGATGTTGAAGTCAAATGCTCCCTACTAAAGTCCCTGGGACATGTGACTTGCACACATCCGGGCTCACGAATGCGCCTGGCCAGGACCGGGCGCGAACTGGGAGTTAGTTGCTGCGGTTGGTTCTGCGTTTGTCCCGTTGGGCCTGGTGCGACCTGGGATTTAGTTGCTGTGGCCCTTTTTATGTTTGCCGTCTGGGCCGGGTGCAAAGTGGGAATTAGTTGCTGCTGTTGGCTCTGTGTTTGTCCCGTTGGGCCGGGTGCGATCTGGGATTTAGTTGCTGCGGCGCGTTTTATGTCTGCGCCGGGTGCGAACTGGGAATTAGTTGCTGCGGCTGGCTCTGCGTTTGTCCCGTTGGGCCGGGTGCGACCTGGGATTTAGCTGCTGTGGAGCGTTTTATGTCTGCGCCGTCTGGGCTGGGTGAAACTGAGAATTGGTTCTGTGTTTGTCCCGTTGGGCCGGGTGCGACCTGGGATTTACTTGCTGTGGAGCGTTTTATGTCTGCGCCGTCTGGGCCGGGTGAAACTGGGAATTAGTTGGTGCGGGCTCGTTCTGTGTTTGTTCCGTTGGGCCGGGTGCGACCTGGGATTCAGTTGCTGTAGTTGGTCTTGGCCTCTTTGGCCCAGGTGCGAGTGTAGATTTGGGCCAGCAACCATACACTTTACAGCCTTCAGATTGAAACGATTAGTGTAGCGCTCCCAAAACGGAACCCCTCTACCTAACGTCTTGTTTGGATCTGGTGGATGGACAACACAGAAGCCGAGGCCAGCCGGCCCAAAGAACACCGTCTGAGCCGGGTCTGATCCTGGTCTGAAAGACTGCTGAATTAACTGGCCAGGTTGTCCCCCCCAAACATCACCACACATGATTGCCTTGCCATCACCGTTTGCCTGCGTTGAAAGAATTTGTTGGCACGTGTTCCAAAAAGTCGTGTTTCGGAAGGATTCTCAACCTTCCCTCCCATCACCTCGCCAGGTTGGGCCCTCAAATCGTGGGTGTGCTCTTCGCTCTCATCGATCGATGACACCAGTGGTGACCAGCGGTGACCAGCGGTGACCAGATCCCAGACGATCTGCGTTTTTGTATTTTGTTCGGCGCCCGCCAGCTGCCAGCTCTCTGACTCCAGGGCCTGCAGGGGGTCGCGGTTTTTTGATTGGGCCTCACTTCGCCGCTTCCTCCACGGCGAAGACGGGGCTTTCACAACACGCGGGGAACGCCGTGCTTTTGTTTGGGGTGCACGCCCAAGGCGTGTAGTGCGGCCCCTGATTTTGGAGTGTTTTATTTTGGATGACGGATGACAACAGGGCAAAAGACTCGGTACTCGAAATGTTCATCAGACACACGTTATGATCAGGTGCCATTAGTTTGACCCATGTGTAAAATAAATGTTCATAAGTATGTTCATGCACTTGCAGACTTTATGAGAATTATTAGTGTGTTTATTTGTTGTGGAATGTCATGTTCTTTTGTTTTGGGGCTAACAAGAAACACGGTCCAGCAAACCTATACAAAATCCGTGTTTGAGCCAGAGTTGTTTTTCGTCTCCTCCCAGCACAATCGCACACAGCAGAGCGTGATGGACTCTTCCCAAAATAAACTGGAGAGGCCTTAGATCTGCACCACGAGCAACTACGTACTTTGAGCCTGACCATGGGCCAGTAAGGCAAGGGTTAGGTGCCTGGGAAGGAGCTCATGAAGTTCTGGGTTTAAGTCAGATCAAGGGATTTCAGGAGGCTGAAGATGTCAGATGAGAGAGGAAGGACTTCTGGTAGGTCGAACAGAAGGTGGAACATATATGTATGAGCAATCTTCTAAATGTGCGGTGACCAATTTATTACGGGAATTTCAGGAATTGGTCAAAAACCTGCGAAAGTGATAGGGCCTCCTCAACAACGATATCATGCGATGACCGTGTCACTGCAGTTGATTTTGATATGTTCGGCTGTTGACATTGTGGCCATGGCCTGAAAAAGCGAAAACCCCGCATATAGTTAATATCATTTGTCAGAACTCAGTGTAGATCAACTGGAAACTGGAAACCAGTTTGGTCGAGTCGCATCAATATCAGTGATCAAGTTGATCAAGTTGATGCCCAATCACCGACGTCCCTAACCAGGCAACCACGAAAATGCGAACAAGGGGCAGTCCGACCGGACTCCCCCCCCAACGCCACTCGAATCTTCGGGTGTGATGTGATCATGTCATTATGTGAAGGGAGGCTGCGCTGCTCCTGAAGGGAGGCTGCGCTTTTCGAGCGTGTAAAAGCCAGAAATTGCGTTCTCTTTCTTTTTCAGAGCGGCACCTAGGTGCGGAAGCTAGAGGATTCGATGATCCTGAACAAGGATTGAAAGGTCAACATGTGCCCCGTAGAGTAGTGTCTCCTTCTAAACATGTCCAAAGCACAAGGCTTTTGCCCTAAAGAAGTTGGGTTTTGAGGGTAACTACGATGAAGCCGCCAGAGGTCTGACTGGTGACTTGGAAGAGGAATGTTTCCCCCTGTAGAAACCAGGCAGGTCGTCTTCCAAGAGGCCGCCATGTTCATCCATGTATGTTCCATCATTTTCCACATTTCATGTTAGTGAAGACTTCCCTGTCTTTGAGAGTGGTTCTTTTGGGGGGCACGACACGCGGTTCCTTGACTGGGCTCCGGCGGCTCTGAGGCTCCGACCATCCATGTGGTTTCCAGCATGTGGGAGGAAGAAGTAAGAACCCGGAGAGCCATGCAAGGTATGACTTCCCGAGATGTTCAGCTTCAAAGCTAAGTCCAGTGCTGCTGGTGACCCAAGGGCAGCAGGTTAGGGGTGGATCATTGGTTCAATGCATGGAATGCAACGGCTGCGTACAAATCACAATATGTTCGTTGGACTTGGCAAAAATGCTGAGGCCAAACCAGCAGCCGCAGAAGAGGTTCAAGGACGCACAGGGTCTTTCTTTAGCGGAAACTAAATAAGTACATGTGACATGAGGACCTGCCTTCTTGAAAATGCTTTGGCAGCCCCAAGGGTGTTTTCAAGATCCGCAGGACATCAGCTGGGTCAGAGGTCATCTATGTTTTATGTTGCTCGACATCTACGTTTTATGTTGCTCGACCCTTGCAACAGCATGGCACATTGAACTGTGAAAAGGAGTGAGAGAAAGGTGCGCCATGAAACAAAGTCCTGCGCTTCTTAAGAAAGCTGTCAATTCTTGATGTTCCCTTCTTTTTTCCGGTTCCCGGAGCACTAATCTCAAGTATTGCAAACAAATGCGTTATCATTTCATTGTGCATGCTTTCCTATATGACAGTGATGACCAATGGCAGAGGTCGTGGTAACACATCCAACAACACTTGTACACTCTTTTCCTTGGACATGCTCTTTGCGATGCCAGGCGTCGAGGGCGCGGCCTCGCTCCGTTTTGAGGAGCTCAACCGAAAGGACTTGAGCTCTCAGGTAGGGGTTGGGTCGCCGGGGCATTTGGGTTGAAAACAGAGTGCAACGCGAAGCAAACTCCCAAAAGTTGTTTGATCTACAAGTCTAGGTTTGGCACTTTGAGAAAGCATCTCTCTAGTTCCTGTGATCAGTTTGTACAGTTGGAAATGGAAGGCTTGAGACTTGAGACTATTCTTTTTCGGGTCGGGAGAACAGAATCACTGCTGTTCATTCCTTTGTGTTTGAATCCGAGGCATAGCCCCCCCAGCAAGTCGTCTCCGCTTCTTTGTCTCCGCCGCTTCTGCCGCGGCATCTCGCGCCGTCTTGGCGGAGGCTCATGAGAGTGACTTGCAGGAACTCTTTGGTCTGCTCCGCTGCAGCCACTACAAGCCGCTGTGGTGGCACAGCGTGGGATGGACCGTGGGCACTGACCGTGGATACTCCATACGACCCACGACCCACGATACCACTTCGATCGGATCGGGTGGGTGAAGAGCAGTGAAGAGGACGAGGACGAAAGGTACTGGTTAGGGAAGTGAGAAAGGAAGAACACCACAAGGCTAGATCGATGTCGGACAATATTGATTGGCTTTGAGTCTTGAGATGAACCCCCAGAGATAGGATCAAGTTGGATCAGGGGGAAATTCCTGCTACCTCCAGACATACAACACCAAAAACATCCAAAAACAAATCGATGATGGACTCAAGAAAAGAATCTCCCATCCCCCATTTCCAGTTCCTGGCCATCACTTGGGAGCACTTCCAGAACGGCTGCTGCGCTCAAAGGGTTCTTGAAACATCCACGGGTCGAACCCGACATGTGCATCTGAGTTGTAAGAATCCACCCCAAGACGCGCCGCGCAGAATCGCCGAACTCCTGAGACTCACCAAACGGTTTCTAGAGATTCCACCCGACCCGAGTTCCGTGCGCCAAAAGTGTTCGGTCGTTGGGGTCCACGGTCGCCGCGGGTGGAGACCACCGACCCGACCTTCCTTCTCAGGACCAAGCCGTCGGATCTTCGATGCTTTCTGGACACGCCCCAGCTGCGCTTCTCGGAACGAAGAGCGCGGCGCTTCTCCGAGCGATGATGGACGTGAAACGAAGGACGTGGCACGGTTGGCCATTGGCTTATCCGGATGGTGAACTCTTGTTCTGGAGGTGGAGTAGTGAGTAGTGGTTTGCTGGAGATGATGGTATACGGGTATTTGGCCCTACACTTTTAACCTTACTGAGGCATTTGAGAAGTATGGCTGACTTGAGGAGAAGTTGGTCGCCCTTGTGATTTTACTTTTGTTGAGGCTTCCAGGGTACAGGTTCCACATCACGACCACCCTGATTCCAGCTGCCTCCTTCCCACCCCTTGATTTTCTGTGTGTCATCATCCAATCCTGATCTCGCTCCTCACTGCCCAGCATGTTTCACCCATCCCTGTTTTGAACATGTTCTTCTCGGATGACTAAATGCAGCTTAATATCTTCAAAGATTATCAAAGATCTTGAATGTAAAATTGGAATGGAACAACTTGCACTCGTTTAAAGACCTAGCTAGCAGACCGTAGAAGAAGGTCTCCATGTATTCTTTCGAGCCCTGGCATTCGCAGGTTGGTTTGCCCTCCGTAGCTCTACATGCTTCCTCGGCTTGGGCATTGCAGCTGTAGAGGAGCCTTTGTCCGAAGAGCTGGCTGAGGCCATGCCAGTTCGTGGGATGGAAAACGCGCGTGCACGCGCGGCGGGAATGGATGTGAAGCTTAAGGGAATGCAGTGCCAGCGGTGCAAGGCAGTTCGTTCCGGTTGGGCGGGGGAAAGTTCCGTGAAGATGGTCTCCGAGATGGCTTGTCAAACCACCTTCTCCAGAATACCAAGTCTGCAGAAGTCCGCACCACTGCTAGGTATGACACAGGCGAAGCTCCATGGCTCCATGTTCGACGCATCGGCGCTTGGTTTGTCGCCGGCTCAGGCGAGCCAGGCACCGACGTCCGTGCAAGGCCGTGTACCTGCGACAGCTGAAGGTGCCACCGCAGCTCATGGCCCAGACGCTCTCCTCTGAGGCCTGCGAATCGGCCCGCGAGCCGGAGACATGTTGAGACGAGTCGAGACTGGTGAACATTGGGGGGAAAGACCTCCAGTTGATCCTTGTTTGGAAACTGGTGGAAAGTGGTCACATGATGTCACATGAACATATAATGAGTCAAAGCTGTGAGGTGATCTTAGTGGCACCAGCCAACAGGCATCATCACTTAAACTACTCAGCACTTTTGGGGGGAGAATGGGGAGAGTACGTATGCCGTATGCTTTGTTCATGTACTTTGTTTCTTTTGACAGGAGAACCGCTCACTGTCCATGACTTCCTTCCTTCTCCATGACTTCCTCACCGTCACCCACCCTTACAGGCCGGCTTTAAGGATGCCAGCCGCTTTCGCTATGCCCGGGCAGCGATCCCCAGCGATCCGGGGCGAAGATCCGGAGCGATCCGCGCGTGGCTCGCGATGGCCAGCACCGCGTGGCTGATGGGCAGTAGTTGGTGTGAAAAAGGACAATAAAGTGGACAAGTGAATTCAAACAAAGGTTGAAAATGGTTGAACAATGTTGAACATGTTTGTTTTCTCTATTTTCCTTTGAACCTTTTTTTGGGTGAGGATCCTTATGCAAGAACACGGTTCTTGGAGCGATGCCTCGTGGTTCACATGTTTGGCTTGAGACACCTTCAAACTGTAACATCATGAGGATCCATGTCCATGAGGATCCGCATAAAAATAATATTGCTTTATGTATCTTGATGATCATTTGAATCAACAAAGAATTGGATGATGCAGTATTCAAACCACACTTTATGCCTATGTAATATTCATCTTGCCATGCTTTAAGACTTTAGACGTAAGACTTCTCCTATATGCCAT